ATCTAAAATATTAAAGTTTTATTTTTCAAAAAGCATGCCATAAAACACAGATATTTTTACACAAATGTTTTAAATATTTTAATTTCCAGTTGGTAAAGTTTTGGATCCGGACCTCCAGACCTGGGCTGACAGGTTAGTTTGTGTTTGTTGCTAAGGAACGGTGGAGTCTGACTCTGGTCCAATCAGTGGAGGAGAGGAGCGTCACGTGGAGTGAACGGACCAATCACAGAGCGGTTAGCCGCTAACTGTTCGAGTTCATCAAGCTTCTGTTTTCAGACACTTTTCAGGCGAATTCAGGCATAAAACTGGTCAAAAATCACAGATTGTTGCTTTGATGAAGCTTGTTTCCGGGTCGGAAYCAGTCCTCCTCTGTTCCTCTCATGGTGAGTGGAGAAATTTACTCTAAATTCTAAAAACAGGCTCGTAGCGGAGCTGTGCAGCTAAAGTTAGCGGTTAGTTTTGTTTTTTAAAGTTAGCGGTTATAATCAGTCAGGGTTAAAGTTAAACTTTTAAATAACTAAAGTTTAAACAGAACATTAAGCTTTGAATTATTTGTTGTTTTTATATTTAAACAAGCTTTAAATCCAGTTAAAGTAGTTTATTATTAAAGTTTAGTAAGTATTTAATAAACTCATCACTAACTCTTTATCCTAAATAAAACATTAATTTACAGAAAAATATAAAAAATCAAATATTTAATAAAACAGRTTGAGTTTAAATGTTTCATGTTTTTAGTGATTATTTCTGCTCACAGAGAAAAACCATGAAGACCAGGTCCAGTTCTCCTCCGGTCCACGTGCACGTCAGAGACAGCACACCTGTCCACGTGCACGTGAAGAGCCAGAGGACAAGTCCCAGCAGGGCCGCTGAGGTCAGAGGTCCACTTTGGTTTTCATGTGTCCCTCTGGTCCTGTTTGGATCTGATGTTTGTCCATCTGTCCATCTGTCATCTGTCCATCTGTCATCTGTCCATCTGTCATCTGTCCATCTGTCCTCTGTCCCTCTGTCCATCTATCCATCTGTCCATCTGTCCTCTGTCCATCTGTCCTCTGTCCATCTGTCCATCTGTCCATCTGTCCATCTGTCAGGTCCATCTGTCCTGTCCATCTGTCCTCTGTCCATCTGTCCTCTGTCCATCTGTCCATCTGTCCATCTGTCCATCCATCTGTCCTGTCCATCTGTCCTCTGTCCCTCTGTCCATCTGTCCATCTGTCCTCTGTCCATCTGTCCTCTGTCCATCTGTCCTCTGTCCATCTGTCCTCTGTCCATCTGTCCT